GATTTTTTTACAGAGAGAAAGGGAGAGGGACAGAGTTAGAAACATCGATGAGAGAGAAACATTGATCAGCTGCCCTTGACCGGAATCAAACCTGGGACCCTTCAATCCACAGGCCAACACTCTATCCACTGAGCCAAACCAGTCAGGGCCACCCTCAATAATTTCATTTCACAGATGCAAAATCTGAGGTTGGGCCCTAAGATGACACAGGAGAAAGGATGGAGCCAGCATCTGCACCAGGCAATCTGGCTACACACCTGAAGTCTTAACCCACTGCAGCCACCCCTCCTGGTGGCTCAGGAGAACCAGTTACAATTGGGGAAAGGCTGAGGTAGCAGGTTACTGAAAGCAGGAAGTTTAAAGTTCCAGTATTTAACTTACAAGTTTATACAAATTTGGTATTCTTTTCGTAAGGTTTGTTTTTATAAAAAACAATGCTTTCCATGTCACACCCATTAAAGACAGTTATTTTCCAAGAGACAGAAAATACCAAGTGTTGGCTAGAATGTGGAGAAATTAGAACTCTTTTGCATTGTTGTAGGAGTGTAAAATTGTGCAGCCATCAGAGAAAACCATATGGAAATTCCTCAAAAATTTAAACACACACATATGTAATACCTTAATCAATAAAGAAATTAAAAAAAAATTTAAACACAGAACTATCATATGACCTAGTAATTGAAATTTAGGATATATACCCAAAATAATTGAAAGCAAGTCTTGAAGAGTTATCTGTATACCCATGTTCATAGCAACATTATTCACAATAACTAAAGGTAAAAACAACCCAAATAACCATCAACTGATGAATGGATAAAGAAAATGTGATATATGACTACAATGGACTATTATTCAGCCTTTAAGAAGGAGATTCTGCAATATGCTACCACATAGGTGAACCTTAAGGACATTATGTTGAGTGAAATAAGTCAGAAAAGGCCAAATAATATATGATTCCACTTATATAAGGTATCCAAAGTAGTCAAACTCATAGAGACAAGAAGTGAAAGAGTGGGTGCCAGGAGTTGGGGGTACAGAGTCTCAGTTTGGGAAAGACAGTAAAGTTCTAGATGGGTGGTGGTGATGCCTGCACAATAATGTAAATGTTGTGCGACTTAATGCCACCAAATTGTAACCCTGAAAATGGTTAGAAATGCTAAATTTATATGTATATTTTACTACAAAAAAGTTCTTGCTAAACATGTGAAAATTAAGTAATTAAAACCCACAATGCTTTTAATAATTTATCAGTTAAATTACTTTAAATTTTCCAAAGTATATGATTCAGTAAGACTCATAGTTATCCTATAGTTTCAAATATCCCTGAGCACAAAGCTCCCTCGGATATTTTGTCTGTACAGTGGGATGATGGCACCAGAGACCTTAGATGACTGCAGTGAGGACTCAATAATGTTATTCCTGCACCAGTGCCTGACGGTAGCAGGTCCTGGCCATTAGTCCACACAAGGCCCTCTGTGATCTGCCTGCTGCCACCATCACCTATGAGATTCAGTTAAGGAAGTGAAATGGCTTCCCCAAAGTGACAAGTCCTGTGCTAAACAATGAAGCTGTGCAAGTCTGCATCTAACACACACCCATACGTACAGTGATGTTTGTGCGTGACTGTTGCACCTCCCACCAATACAAACTCCTTGAAGATGGGACAAATCTTAGTCATCCTTACTCATACAGCATACATACAGGGAGGGGTAGAAATAGGTTTATAGTTTTGAGTATGCAAAATAGGTTAATCTTATATTTACTAATTACTGTATTATTTTTCATATGAACAACTATATTTGCTCCACCTTATGTGTGTGTGTGTGCACATGCATGCACACATGTATACACACACACACACACACACACACACACACACACAGTGTCTGGCACCTAATAGCAGCTCAATAAATATTTGATGGTGGGGGAGGGATTCATAAATGTTAGATATGGATGTCTACAAAGTAAACTTATCCATCTGTGAGGAACACTATCAAATTCTTCTGTAATTTATAATATCAAAAAGAAATTTTCAGCTTCTTTTCCTACTTACTACCAAGGAAAAAAAGAGAAATAAGAAATCTGAGAATTGGAGGGGCCACAGAATTTAAGCCACAGGAAATACCTGATCCCAACCCTTCAGGAATCAGCCATGGAATGAAGGGAAGGCCCCATATTACTGAAGTCACACACTCTCAATACACATGTGGAACTTCCCATTTACTCGTGACATACACAGGCCTACATACATGTCTAATCCTCAGCAGCGATGCTTAAGGGGACAATGTGAAAGGCCACAGGAGTTCTGTCCCTTTACTTAATTTGATACCCGACTAACTAACCAGTCACCAAAACAGATTCTATGGGATACAGCTAGTGAGTTTGGGGCTTCTTTGTGTGGAATTTAGAGCATAGACACGAAAGAAGCTGAAGTGCTATAGCTGGTATTTCTGTGAAGTGGCAGTTACCCAGGCAGCACTAATTTACATCCTCTATAAAACGGCCTTTACATTTGGCTGTGGGGAAGCTTGGAAAGAGGCAACTCGAAAGATCTGTTCTTCAGAAACCTTCACATAATAACAATCACAGCACAATTCTAGGAGCTATTTCTTACTTCCTCAGTTAGGTTTTACTATTTCCTATCAGCTACTCTACGGCCAAACTGGGCAAGCACGTGGAATGCTTCGGCTTTACACCATTCTGTACTTCACAAAGTAAGTGGTATTTATAACAATATTCTGATCTCCTGTGAGTGCTTTGCTATCTTTTGCTGAGTGGGGGAAAAAATTAAATAATAAGAAATGTAAGTGAAAAATCAGAACAAAAGGAAAAAAACAACAACAAGAAAACCTAATGAAAGAGTTGTCACTTTTTTCTACCTATGGCTTCTGAACAGAATTATTATACCTATTATCTATTATTATCCAAGAATCTTCCTCCTACTCCCTTCAGGTATTAAATCTCAATTTTAATGTTCTTCCCTAATTTGAACATGCACAAAAAGTCACAGGAGCCTGGAGTCCACGGGCTATGCGTGCTGGGAGCTCTGCCCAGCTCTGGTGCAGATAGAAAGTACTCAAGCAGACATCTGTCCCCAGGCTAGTCTCAAGAATATGATGTTCTCGTGGGAACAAGTGCCCTTTTTGATAATGGGCAAATATTTATGTCTGCTGGGCTGCCTATGTACTGGTGCTGGGCAGCTTCCCATCAAAAGCAGGCGTGGGGTCCCAATCACAGGAAGATAACTCTTCTACACAATGAAATTATGAATGTCATCCTGAAAATAGGTCCTAGAAGAATTTAAAACAAACTCACAAACACACTCAAAATTGTATCCTAATCTATTATCTTTTTTCCCCATATTTCTGGCATTTTAATAGGAAATATCATCAAACATACATTAAAAAGGAACTGCACTGACAAAATACAAAAAAAAAAAAAAAGACCTCTTTAAATATATACCTGGAGATTACATAAGACCAATACAATATTTCTTCAGTGAAATCTGTAAATGAACCAAGTTCTCACTGAACTTTAGATTTTGTTTGATTCTTTCCCAGGATCAGAAATTCCAAAATTAGAGTAGGGGAGAAATGGGGAAAAATAAACATTGTATGACAATGAACACTACGTTCATAAAGAACCTTTCTGTAAAGAGAGAGAGAGAAACTGAGAGAAATAGAGAGAGATATTATGGAAGAAAAGACCATGAAAATAATAATCCTATGAGAACTGATTTTTAAGCAGTAAATTTGAGCCTTGGTCTTCATGAAGATACTACAGCTTATATAGAAAACTATAAACATACAAGACTCCAGGGGGGAAAAAGTCAAAATACATATTATTTCACATTATGTAAGGCCTAAACTTTTGAGGGGAGAAAAAAAGATGGCTAACTGAATCTCAATATAGAATCGTTTTCTGGCCATGTGGCTCAACGGTTGGCACATCCCATACACCAAAGGTTGCAGGTTCAATTCCCAGTCAGGGCACATACCTAGGTTGCAGTTTCGACCCTAGTCAGGCCACATACAGGAGGCAACCATTGATGTTTCTCACATTAATGTTTCTCTCTCCCTTTTTCTCTCTGTAGAAATCAATAAAACATATCCTCAGGTGAGATTGAAAAAAAAAAGAATCCAAAATTATGAAAATTCCTGGGTCAAAGAGTGCTCCAAATGAAACCATACTTTGTAAGACATACTACTTAGATATATTTTTAAAAGGAAAGAAAAGGTTCTGAATAACTATAGTCCCTTCCAAAAAGGAAATCTTAAATTAAGGGGAAAAGATTCTAAGAGTATACACGAGGCTGGCTCAGGAAGAAAGCTGAACAATATATCCAAGATAGTGTCCATAAAAATAATGATGGTACATCTTTAATAAAAAAGAAATAGGCTATAAAAAAAAAGCTCACTATCCACACTGGTTTTAGTAAAAGCTCCTTTGTGCTCCTTTGTGGGTGCATAATAAAGTTCCATGGGTTTGTTCACTTTCCAGTATTTCTCACTGACCAATTCCAAAGAAAAAGAGCCATTTAATACAGTGAACTGCCCACTAGCTGTTGCTATATAAATGGTATATTATTTCTCACTGGCTGTATCAAGGATTATCTGGTTTGATTCTCCTTTGCTTCAAAGTTCTTCTAAAGCTAACCTCACAGCCAGATACTTGGATAAGTGATCAACAGTGGCATTACCAGAAGTCTTTATGTATCTTGTCTGTGCACTGTCATCTTTTTCCATCAGTGTGGGATGAGGCCTGAACACTAACTCAATTTCACTAGCATCATCCATTACTGGATCAATTGCCACTGTTGCATTATTGTTATCAAGCTCAAGCCCAGAATCATCTGATGTTTTGGTCCATTTGTTGCTAGGCCCTGCTTCCTGATTGCTGTGTGTGGATGCATTACTACAGTGAGAACTGTCACCATTGTCTTCTGCTCCACTGCCATTTTCAATCTGTTGTTTCTTGCCTCGCTGTAGTCTGTTCATGGCCTATATCTTCAGTCCTTCTTCAATGCTGTGACTTAGTACTTGCTGATTATTGTGCTTATTGATCCTGGCTAATACTCTCTCTTGATGAGCTTCATACTCATCACGACTTGGATAAATTTTGCCGATGAGTGCATCAAAGTTCAGATCTGGCCTTAGTGATCTTTTGGAAACTAGCTTTTTCCAACATGTTGGACATTCTTTATTGCCACTTCTGAGGGCTGTGATAATGCAATCTGCACAAAAACGGTATAAACACTCCTTTGTAGTCATGGTGTTCTTCAACATATCCAAACAAATTGGGCACATCAATTCACTGTGTAGACTTCGAGGTGAAACCACAGTTTCCAAGCCATCTGTTATTGCCTCCTGAGGTATTCGTTGTAATTCATATAAACTGAGTTCCCATTTTTGGCTTAATGGTTGAGTTCCATTCGTCTGCACAGCCTGAGACATTGCGGCTCCCGGCCCGGCCCCGAGCGAGACTCAGGTCCAAGTCCCCGCGGCCACCGGCGCCTCCGCACAATATGGCGAGCCTGGGCTTCCGCAATGGAGCTGGGGAACTACAACAGGGTCTGCTCAATATTCATGAGAGACCGAGAGGGAAGCTGGCTGGGGAAGCTGGCTGGGCCAGCGCTACGGGGAGGGCGGGAGCGAGCGAGGGGGCAGAGGCGCAGGACAGGGACCGGGACAGAGAGACTTGCTGGAGCGGGAGCACCGCTGCGTGCTGGCCTGGAGGCCCGAGCCGCCGCCACTCCCCCTAATCTATTATCTTTTAAAAGCAAGAATAATAATACACTCAGATGTCTCAAAGAACACAGGAGTCAAGTAGTATAATCATTTAGACTAATTATATAAAAACTAGAGGCCTGGTACATGAAATTTGTGCACAGGGGGTGGGGAGGTATCCCTCAGGGAATGTCCAACTGCCAGTTTAGGCCCAATCTCACAATCTGGGACTGCTGGCTCCCAACCACTCACCGGCCCCCCAGCCTGATTGTCCCTAACCACTTCCGCCTACCAGCCTGATCACTCCCTAACCACTCCCCTGCCAACCTGATTGATGCCTAACTGCTCCCTTGCTGGCCCAATCACCCCCAACTGCCCTCCCTGCAGACCTGGTCGCCCCCAACTGCCCTTCCCTGCCAGCATCTTGTGGTGGCCATCTTGTGACTACATGGGGGCAGCCATCTTGTGCAAGGGCATGATGGTCAATTTGCATATTACCTCTTTACTATATAGGGTAAATGCTGCTACAACATGGATAACCCTCAAAAGCTAAGTGAAACCTTAAAAAGGCAAGTGGAAGAAAATAGCCAGCAAAACCACATACTGCATGATTCAGTGACGTAATGAGACGTCTAGAAAGGGCAAATCTATGGAGACAGAAGGTGGAGAAATGGTTTTGGGGGCCAAAGGAGGAAACAACAGTGCCTACAAGTGGCCATGAGGTTTCCTTTTTGGATGATGGAAATGTTCCAAAGTTAGATGGTTGCAGAACTTTGTCAATTTACTAAAAATTAATGAATTATACAACTGAAGTACACTTTATTTTTATATCAGTAAAGCACTAAAATTTTTAAAATTAACCATAATTTCCAAGTGTATAGTCTAATAAACATTCTGAAGAGGATTTAGACAACAGATCACATAATTCAAGGTAAAGTGTCCAGGTATTGAATTTCAGTCAAAAGAGCCACAGGATAGTTCCCAAATCCTCCTCAGAAAATCCTGTACCATACCTCACAACTCTTCTAGCCTCATCACCAACAGCCTCAGGAAAGAGCTCCCTTGGTGATTTTCCTAGCACTCTTTTTAGGGCCTTGGAAACGAACCTTTTGACTTCTTAGTATTCGCCTGTTTCTCCATGGCACAAGCCTACACTACACAGAAGAGAAAACCTGGTTCCCGTGACTGGTATCCATCAGTCATAAAGCGAGGCCTTCCAGAGCCAGCAGTCACGAGCTCTCCAACGAAATGACCTTTGGTAAGCACTAGGGATGTACTGCACAGCGGGCTAACGACAGCCAACACTGCCATACAGTCCATAGGAAAGTTGTTAGGAGTACATCCTGAGCTCTTGTCACAAGGATAATTTTTTCCTCTTTTTCTCTCTTTTCTCTTTATTGTCTGTATATGAGATAATGTATATTAACTAAACCTACTGTGGCAATCATTTCACAATATATGTTAAGTCAAGTCATCCTGCCATCCATACACCTTAAACTTATATAGTGCTGTATGTCAATTATTTCTGAGTAAAACTGGAAAAAAGACTTTTTAACATTACCTTTGGGATATATCCCGGATGTGATCCAAAAGTTGAAAGGTTTCTCATCTATAAGCAATGCTTCTAGGGCTGCATTCTCTATGCACCTCCCTTCTGACCAAATTCAGAACATAAAGTCTAACTTAGCACAGGAGTTAGACTTTCTATTGAGAGCTGGCCCACGTGTACTGCGAGCAGAGCGCCAGGGCCCTGACAGACACTGTGTGCTGAGGGTCCCCGTAAGCCAATCCTTGTTGCTGCTGGTGTTTAAAGCTGTATTATTCAGGCATCAATGTTTGCCACTTTTCAGTTCTCCCTTTCTAGCGCCATGTGCAGATTGGTTATAGGTTGACAAACTCGTCAGGTAAACCAAACAGGTGTCCTGGACTCCACCCCTGGACCCTGTGGGTCACCTTCCCACCTTCTCCCAGCCAGACTGCAGCCACCTGCCCCTCTACTTTCAGCTGCATTGTTTGTACTCTTAGTTTTGCTTTTTGTTTTAAAACAAATAATCACTATGCTTATGCTCTCGGTTCCACCCAGTCCTTCTCATTTGAAGCTTCTTTTTCATCTGAAGGCTACCCTTCTCCTCCTTCCAGCCTCCCTCTCGCATCTCCTCCGCTGATGTACCATTTAGGCCTGACTTCAAAATGTCACCCATCTTCCTTTTCCAGTTCCTAGCAGTTCATATTCTTCACCAATGGCATTTGAGAATGTTAGAAATGATAAAGACTTCTGTTCAATGTCTCATTTTACAAATGAGAATAGGAGAGACCACTAAATAGCTAAAATGTTTATAGCAGCTTTTCTTATAATTGCCAAAACTTGAAAACTACCAAGATGTCCTTCAGTAAGTGAGTGGATAAACTGTGGTACATCCAGACAATAGAACATTAGTCAGCAATAAAAAGAAATGAGCTCTCAAGCCATGGAAAGACATGGAAAAAACTTAAAAGCATATTACTCAGTGAAAAAAAGTAAATTTTTCTAGTTTGGCTCAGTGGATAGACAGACTGAAGAATCCTGTGTTTGTTTCCAGTCAAGGGCATGTACCTGGGGTGCAGTCTTGATCCCTGACCCTGGCTGGGATGTGAAGAGGAGGCAACCAATCACTGTGTCTCTTTCACATGGATGTTTCTTTCTCTGTCTCTCTCTTTCCTTTCCACTCTCTCTAAAAATCAATTTAAAAAAAAATATCCTCAGATTTGAAAAAAGAAAAGAAAAAAAGCTAACCCAAAAATGCTACATACTGTATGATTCCAACTATATGACACTGTGGAAAAGGCACAACTATGGAGACAGTAAAAATACCAGTGGGTATAAGGAGTTTGGGGGAGGGAGGAAGGAATAGGCAGAGCACAGCAGATGTTCTAGGGCAGTGAAGTTATTCTGTATGATACTACAATGGTGGATACACATCATTATATTATATATTTGTCCAAACCTACAGAATACCCAATACCAACAGTGAATCAACTCTAAAGTAAACTATGGACTTTAGCTAATAATAATGTATCCACATTGGCTCATCATTGTTAACAAATGTGCCACCCTGATGTAAGATGTCAATAACAGGGGAAATTATACACAGGGGGTAGAGATATTTGGGAACTTTCTATTTTTCCATCACTTTCTCTGTAAACTTAAAACTGCTCTAAAAAACAAAGTACACTAATTTGAAATCTAAATAAGCAAAGAACTAAGTGGCACAGTCAGGCGAGCGACTTGGGAGCTCTGTACGCAGTACAGATAAGTACCCAGAAACCCACCCCTTGTGTTAATAATCACACTGACATGACTCACCTAATGGAAAAACTAATATCATTACATCATCGAGATTCAGAAACACCTCCAGTCCAAATCCAAATTCCGTACATGTGTAACCTCGGCTAGCTGATTTTAAAATTCATGTGGAAGAACTTGGGATTGGAATACCTGCAATACTTCCAGGAAGGGGTCAGGGTGTGAGACCTGCCCTGCCAGTGTCAGCGGCCTCCATTTTAAAAGCATGAATAATACATGGAATTGAGCGTTTGGATTGCAGAAGTGATCATTTGTTTTTTTAAACTTGAAGTGATTGTGAGATTTTTATGACCCAAGAGTGATTAGAAAAGTCATGGGACATGCCTGGGTTTTTAAGGGGAGGGAAGAACGAATTACAGAACTCCTTTAAGGGAAGCATGGGGAGCAAAAAAAAAATAAAGCTGCTTTATGTTCACATCTCTCACATCTTGCTTATTCTGTTAGACAGCAACATAAAGGAAAACATTGCTTAGGAATATATTTGTATGAGGAAAACTAATAGAAGAAAATTAACAAGTGATAATCCTAAGATTCAGTGATAGTTACCTCTTGGGAGAGGTTGGCAGGGCTTGAGGACAGGGAGGGACATTTAAAGATGCTGCTGGAATTTTATATTTCAGGTTGGGTAGTGTATATGGTGTTTGTTAAGGTCTGAACTTACTCATATGTTACAAATATTCTTTGTATTCTAGTAAATTAAATATTTAATACAAGTTTTTAGAAAGATAGTCTAGTCTCAAAAGGATGGGTCAGAAATACTAATACAAATAACATGTAATAAAAATGGCATCAAACAGACGTGTGTTCAAATTCCACCGCACCACTCAGCAGCCACAGAGCCCTGGACAAATGACATAACTACTCTGACCTCAATTCCCGCATGTGAAAGAGGAGGGATAATAGTATTCCTCAGGTGTAGCTGAGTAAAATAAGATAGTGCTTAATGAAGAGCACAGCGGGAGTCTGGCAAAGAGAATAGTAATAATAGCTCTCATCTGTTGTCTGACCATGTGTCCGGAGCATGGCAAGGACCTTACAGGCACAATCACATTGACTTACTTCAAGGTCACGTAGTCACACCCATAGGAGATAGGATTTGAATCTGTAAACAGTCTGATTCCAGTGCTAGGCTCTTAACTACAATGCTATTCTTTCTCTCTGATAAAACATTTATTAGTAATGGTGTTATTATAATCACTATAAATATTCATAGCTAAGGCTTAAAAATTTGGTTAAAATTTACCTATACATGGCTTAGATGGGAATACTTGACACAAAAGCAATTTACTTCAAAAAGAACCCAAAGAAGTAGTGAACCAAATGGCCAATGTGATCTGACATTTGTCGTATGACTCTCAGGAATTCCAATATACTTTAGGTCCAC